GGTTCCGGCCCGCCGGGCGCCGCCTCTCCGCACCAGCTGCGGGTCCGTGGCCGGGGTTCGCGTCCGAGCCTGCAGCGTCCGCGTCATAGGAGGGAATGTTCGCCTCCCCAGAGACTTGTTAAGGCAGCGGCTCTGCAGCCGCTCACGTGGGCTCGGCTAGGTCTCCCATCTAAAATGAGGACGGTTCCTCTTGCAGGGTTCTTACGGAAACAGAACGGTTATGAGCCTCCCTTTTCCTTAACTTAACCGTGCCTGGAAAACAGTGTCGAGGGTTACAAAACTTCAGTTAACACGTTCAAAATGAATGATGAGAGAACCATTGCTGACTCACTCTGAAGACCCAAAGCTCTGGATCACCTATTACATCTTGCTAGATTCTGACTATTTTACTGCAAAATAACGCTTATTTTGTGACTTTTCTTTAGTTTTGTTTTGTCGTTGAGTTGGAGTCTCACTCTGTCTCCCAGGCTGGAGTGCAGTGGCCGCTTCCGGCCACCGCAGCCTCGACCTGCTGGGCTCAGGCGATCCTTCCGCCTCAGCCTTCCCAGTAGCTGGAACGACAGGCGTGCACCACCACGCCCAGCTAATTTTTTGATTTATTATTTTTTAATTTTTATTTATTAATTTTTTTTTGAGTTGGAGTCTCACTCTGTCGCCCAGGCTGGAGTGCAGTGGCCGCTTCCGGCCACCGCAGCCTCGACCTGCTGGGCTCTAGCGATCCTTCCCCCTCAGCCTTCCGAGTAGCCGGAATTACAGGCGTGCGCTACCACGCCCGGCTGATTTTTTGATTTATTGTAGAGATGGGATCTTGCCAAGTTACCCAGGCTGGTCTCGAACCCCTGGGCTCAGGCAGTCCTCTCACCTCGGCCTTCCAAAGCACTGGGATTATAAGCGTGAGCCACCATGCCTGGTTATGCTCTGTAACTTAAAGTTGAGATGTCTCTCCACTTGCTAAGAAGGACATAGATCTCTGTAAATACTGAAAGGTTGGTTCTAATAGTGCCAGAGATTGTTGATTTGTAACCATGAGAGTAAAAATAGATTAAAATATTTGTAGTAGTAAACTTTTCTCTGTCAGAATTAAAGATCATGCCGCTAAGGACCTAGTCACAAAAGCTATGTGCATAATAGGGACCTTAGATAACTTTCGACTAATTTCCTCAGTTTACAGATAGAAGAAACAGGCCGGGCTCCCTTGCTCAACCTATAATCCCAGCACTTTGGGAGGCCGAGGTGAGTGGATTGCCTGAGCCCGCGGGTTCGAGACCCACCAGGGCAATTTGGCGAGACCTCATCTCTACAATAAATAAAAAATGAGCCGGGCATGGTAGCGCGCGCCTGTAGTTCCAGCTACTTGGAAGGCTGAGGCGAAAGGATCGCCGGAGCCCAGCAGGTCGAGGCTGCGGTGGCCGGGAGCGGCCACTGCACTCCAGTCTGGGCGACAGAGTGAGACTCCAACTCGAAAAAAAAAAAAGAAGAAACATAGACCCAGAAAGATGAAAATTGCCCAAGATGAAGATTGAAGGAAACTTCTAGTCTTGTGGGTTAAAGGGTGAGGAAATTGCTGAGCAGCATCCCACAGGCTCTGCATTCTTTCTCCTCCCTTTGCTCAGTACTCCCACCCTCCTCTGAATCAATGCTTTTGTGTGCTGTAAGAGACATGTTTTCTCTCTAGTTCAATCTCAGCCTTGCTTTATGCTTCAGGAAGTTATCCTGAATGGACTATATCAGTGAAGGTCACAGTTTTTTTTGTTTTGTTTTGTTTTTTGAGTTGGAGTCTCACTCCGTCGCCCAGACTGGAGTGCAGTGGCCGCTCTTGGCCACCGCAACCTCGACCTGCTGGGCTCCGGTGATCCTTCCACCTCAGCCTTCCAAGTAGCTGGAACTACAGGCGCACGCTACCACACCCGGCTAATTTTTTGATTTATTGTAGAGATGAGGTCTCGCTGCCCAGGCGGGTCTCGAACCCGCGGGCTCAGGCAATCCACTCACCTCAGCCTCCCAGGCGCGGGATTACAGGCTGAGCCACTGAGCCCTTCTAAGATCACAGTTTTTATTGAGGAAAACCTCTCTAAATAACTGTTCTCTTAGATATTAGAATGGACCTGGTGGGGAGGAGAGGAATGTAATGGGGCAGGGTGGGTTCAAAAGAAATTAAAATCAATCAGTAAATAACTGCTCTCTCTTCTCTCGTGCTCTCTCTCTCTCTCTTTGAGTTGGAGTCTCATTCTGTTGCTAAGGCTGGACTGCAATGGCATGCTCACAGCCACCGCAGCCTTGGCCTGCTGGGCTCAGGCGGTCCTTCTTCAGCCTCCCAAGGAGCTGGAACTACAGGCATGCGCCACCATGCCAGCTAACTTTTTTATTTTTATTTTTATTTTTTATTTTAGTTTTTGAGTTGGAGTCTCACCCTGTCGCCCAGACTGGAGTGCAGTGGCACGCTCCTGGCCACCGCAGCCTCGACCTGCTGGGCTCCGGCGATCCTTCTGCCTCAGCCTTCCAAGTAGCAGGAACTACAGGTGCGCACTACCACGCCCAGCTAATTTTTGATTGTAGAGATGAGGTCTCGCCAAGTTGCCAGGGTGGGCCTAGAACCCGCAGGCTCAGGCAATCCACTCACCTTGGCCTTCCAAAGTGCTGGGATTACAGGCTGAGCCACCGAGCCTGGCCTATTTTTATTTTTTTAAAGAGATGATGTCTCACTATGTTGCCCGGGCTGGCCTCAAGCAATCCTCCTGCCTCAGCCTCCCAAGTTGCTGGGTTTACAGACAGGTGTAAGCCACTGTGCCCTTCTTCTTGTTTTTGAGCTTGGAGGCAATCACAGCAGAACTTTGGGTAATAAAGTACTGCACTGTGATTTCCCTACACCTTGCCTTCATCTTGGTAATTATCACTTTATTGAACTCTCCGCAAATTATCCTAATTTAGCTGGGCTCGGTGGCTCAGCCTGTAATCCCGCGCTTTGGGAAGCTGAGGTGAGTGGATTGCCTGAAGCCCGCGGGTTCGAGACCCACCTGGGCAACTTGGCGAGACCTCATCTCTACGATAAATCGAAAAATTAGCTGGGCGTGGTAGCGTGCGCCTGTAGTTCCAACTACATGGAAGGCTGAAGCGGAAGGATCACGGGAGCCCAGCAGGTCAAGGCTGCGGTGGCCGGGAGCATGCCACTGGTCTCCAGCCTGGGCGCCAGAGTGAGACTCCAACTCAAAAAATAAAAAAATAAAGTGTAAGAAAAGATCCCTATTCTCTGGATGTTTAAATTAGCACCAATCACAAGGGAGTATACCTGAGTGCTACAGCCTTCAGGGTGATCTAGAGACAGCAGGTATTGTAAGGAATCCAAGGGTCTCAGAGACATGCATAATTTCACAAAGTACAAAGGCTTTGAGTTGTACAAAAGGATTAATACTTATTTGGAGCCGGGCTCGGTGGCTCAGCCTGTAATCCCGTGCTTTTGGGAGGCTGAGGTGAGTGAATTGCCTGAGCCCGCGGGTTGGAGACCCGCCTGGGCAG